GCTCAGCACGCTGAGGTCGCCTCGCACTGTCTACCTGCTGGCGGATCCCTCCCCCGGGCACCTCTCCTTCCTCCTCTTGCCCCGGGCGGCACTAGGGCGGCTGCAGGGCACAGACCTGAAGTCAAGGCCCAAAAGCAAAGCCGCGAGGTGGGGGCGTGGTCCTGGCAGGTGAATTCGGTCCAGCCGCCACAGACCCCACTGAAGGGGTTTGAATACATTTTTTTAGGGTGAAAGGAGGCGCTGCTGAGGTGGATTTAGGACGAGCAAGTCCTGTCAACATTAGCCTGCCATTCTATCAACTCACTAGAATTCAACCATCATTTACTAACACAGGTCAAATCCCTGTGAGTTTGTGGAAGGTGGGACACAAACGGACATTTATGCGGCAGTCTGCTGGGTGCTAGGGCGCTGTGGACACCCAGCGAAGGAGACCCGGTCTCCAGTCTCAAGAAGCACTCCAGCCCACCACCCCCCCACACACACACACACACAGGCAGCCCTTCTGTTCCCCTCCTCTGGGAAGCCTGATCTCAGGGAAGCAACTGATCACAAAGCCATGCCAGTCTGCTCTGTTCCTTACTAATGGAATGGGCCTCACTCACCTGCCCACCCTCTGGGCTGTGGCTAGACCCGACTGCCCAGCTGGGGGATGTATTTCCCAACCTACCTCTCAGTGACATATTGGCCATGCCATTGTGGCCAATGGGACGTAAGTGGAAGTACGTGGAATCTCCTGGGGCACAGGCTTCCCCTCCTCTTTCTTCTCCCCCATGGACTGGGGAACAGACTTGAGTGTAGTGATGAGCAGACTCTGCTGACTGGTGGCTGGTGAAGCAACGGCCGGGAGGGAACCTGGCTGTGTGGACGTCTCCTGGAGCAGAACCGTCCAACCTCCTCGCACCCTCTGCCAGCCCGGACATTGATGCAAGAGATGAACCACATTCTTCAGTGCATGGGAACTGGCTTTTGCTAAAGCAGTCGAGCCAGTATCCTAGTACCACGTGCACACTCCCGCGGGGTGAAGACCTGAAGGAACGGCGGCGTGGGTGTTCTGTTCGAGTTCCCGCAGCCCTTGCCAGAGGCCAGCCCAGAGCTGCAGATCTGAGGTGTTCAAAACTAGGTCCCCGGTGCCCTCTGACGTCCTGAGGCATCTCTCGGTTCATCCTTCCTTCAACGTGTTAGGCTTCCCTGTGTGGGATGAGCCCGAGGTCGTGAGCCTAGAGAGACACTGCCACCAGCAGCCAAGAGCACCCCTCTCTTCAGTCGTGGCCCACTTCCCGCCTCTCCGTCAGTCTGCCGTGTGCGTTACCTAAGCAGGTATCTCAGCTCCACGCGTGGACGAGGCGTTGGAAATGCGTCAGCCTTTCCCCAGAGCCCGCGGCCGACAGAAGCTCAGCCTCTCCGACTCCTCTCCACCAGCTCCTGACATTTCCTCGGAGGAAGAAGGGTTCTCTCCTGGGAGAGCAGGGTCCTCCAGCACCTCCAGGGGTACTACCAGGAAGTCTTTCATCCTTTCTTAAAGGAGTTGTAAAAAGGACAATTAAACTGCAGAAACATGAGCACTGAAGGAGGGAGTACGGCAGTCAACATCACGCAGGTAAAACGATGTTCAGGAATGATCAGTACTCAGAGGTTAGTGGTTACACGTTCGAACAGTTCTTGTAAATGTTCGACCACTGGAAAGCTTTCAGAATGCCAGCTAGCCAATGGTTCCTAGATTCAAATATATATATATAGTTACTCTCTATATAGAGAGTGACAAAAACCCTCTCTTGTTCCTGACTTCTCAGCTTACTGAACAAAGTGATGGAGAGTCTGTTGCCACCACACTGGACTCGTTTCCTGGAAACTCCTAAATACCGGACCACAGAGCTTGACTAATGACTTTGGACGTGGTGCCCACTGCGTTTAGAGAACTGGCTGCCGTGGGAAAGCTCAAGTGCCTGATCCTCCTTACGTTAACGTCTTTGGCCCTGAAAATCACCAGGAAAGGGAGGCCAGGAAGGTAAGGTGACCCGGACGGAAGTGGGAAGGCTTCATCCGCTGCCACCAGGTGAAGGGAAAGCTTTGGTCGCCTGGGAGGAACTTTCCCCTAAACTGCAGGTTTCCTTTCCCCTAAACTGAGGCAGGAATGGGGAAACCTACAGCCTTTGAGTGTGGAGACTCAGATCTGGGTCCCAGTGCAGCCCCAGGCCTGGCTGGGCTGCCTTCGCAGTAAAATGCAAATGCTAAGTCAGCGGATGTTCCACTGATCCCAGGCGATTGGAGCTGCATAGGGTTTCCAGAAAATACTTCAGATGTTTGCCACACCGGTGACGATGTTCATCATGAGAGAGGATGCTAAGGTGGCAGTTACTCGCAGTTCTTTTGTGTGCAAACTAGCTTAGGCGGAGAAAGGAAACTTGGTTCAGACGATGGGGGACAAGAGTTATCAGAGCTAAAGCAAAGACCCCCTTTTCCTTCCTTCCTGGCACATGGTGGGGTTGGCCCTCTTTAAAGTTAGATGTCACCATGTTATCTGCCTGTTACTTCTGGGCTAAAACTTTACGAGCAAGGGTGCAGTCCGCTGTATTCCCTTGTCCTGTGTTGGTGATTGCAAAGGCACACGCCGAGATGAAGTTTGCGAGGTCTGGGGCCCCTCAGTGACTGCAGGGAGTCCAGCACTCAGCTCCCGCCCCCACCGCCCCTGGCTGTGTAGCCGAGATAAAGTTCGGTTGCATTCAACGCCTCTGCACCTTGGGACTGTCTGCTGCTGCACCACAAGACTGTGCTGAGCAGATTTCACTTTCTGTGTTCTTGATGCTCTGGTATTTGGGATCTTGATCCTGGACTGTTCCTCCTAGAGTGAGCTAATTCCTAGAGACTTGCAAACCCCCGAGAGCACGTTTGATACACAAACCAACCAATGTGGTCACACCTGCAGATGCATCTTTCACCAACCTCTCACACAGCAAGCCAACGGTCCCCGGCCCTGAACCACCCAGGACCAGGCACTGGACGATGAGGTGTAGCCCAGGGCCTGCCATTACCAGAACTAGCCAATCCTACTCAGTGCGCCTACCCTGCCTCACGCATTCCTTCCTGGGAAAACCTCAGTAAAGCCCTGCTGCTCCCTGAACAACCCCGGTCCCTCGCTAATGTGGCCCTTTGTGCTGCGTGGGCCTCCTGTGTCTAGGATTCCATGAGTACCCTCTTCCTTCGTGACAATTATTTGTGTCTGTCTTTCCATTCCTGAGTCAAGCAAGTCCTGGGCATGTTTTCCATCCCAGCAGACACTGGAAAGGAGATGGAGAGTGGCGTCAGGAACACTGGATTTCTGCCCTCCGCAACCTCCAAACTCTGCTTTCCTCCGGGCTGGCCCCTCCGCAGATGCGCTTTCTCTGAGTGCAAAGATGGTCCCAAGCATCCTGGCTCCACCACCAGAGCCCAGGGGCAGGAAGTGGTCTTCGCTGCTGATTCCAGCAGAAAAGAAGTTGTAGGGGAAGACTCAGACTGGCCCAGCTTGAGTCACGTACAACCGTGGGACAATCTCCGTGGGACACCACACGGATTAGGATGAGCCGAACGCTCAGCCCTGAGGTTCAGACGGAAAGTCCTGAGCAGCCAGAACACAGCTGCTACTGAGGGCTACCACTGCCCTTTTGTGGGTGGCATCTGGACACCCAAACCATGCTGCTCTGTGAGGAAAGGATAGCATGCGGACAGTACTACTAGGAAACCAGGCGAGTACTGAACCCGAGGCCATCCCCTGAAATCAGCAGGTGGAAGTAGGGTCAGGCCAGCCAGAAACATGGTGGTGCCCAAAACCTACCCTCCCGGACACTGGAAAACAAGCACCTTAAATGAGCACGTGAGAAGTGGGGCAGCAAACATTTAGAGTTCTCCGGTCACTGGACACCTTCTCCACGCCGCACTCCTGGACAGTCTGTTCAGTGGATCTGCCTAAAGGGAACGTCCAGATCTCCAGACGCCCACGCTGGACTCCCTGCTTCGAGCTAGTCTTTTACAGAGGCCCACAGGGCGAGGTCTGAAGATCTTCGTGCATCATTGGGTACAGGAGAACAGCGGGGAATTAACTGAAGGCAAGGCTCTCAACCTGGAACAGTGGGCTGCCTTCCCTGGTCCACGAACCGGTCACGGAACGTGAAGAGCGAATGTTCATTTCCTGCAGAAAGGACGCACAGCTCTCACCAGCCTCTGTGACCCCCAAAGGGTCAAGCACTGCCATTTCAGCAGAAGGCAGCTCGGCCTCCAGGTGCTGGAAGACCAAGAGGAGCCCAGGATTTCCCCCTTGACTCTGCTGGTGTCTCACCAGGAGGGCGGACTTCTCATCTCTACCTCGGTTCCCCCATTTTCTAAATGGAGCTCAAGTCAGAGAACTCCACGTCCCTTGCAGTCCTGTGTGAAAGAGAAATCTGGGCCCAAGTCCCAATGAGGACATTACCAGCAGGTGACTTAACCTCAAAGAGCGGACTCCCTCACCAACAGGGGCAGAGCACTTTCCACTTTCCTTCCCATTAACAATGAAAGCTGACACCACCGAGCCCTTCCGATTGGCCACAGCAGTGTTAAGCGCTTTGGGGTATGCCATTTAACCTTCACCTCCGCCTGCCCCTCCATCCACCGCCCCCCCCCCCCACCTGAGGCCACTCAGAGAGCAGGGTGTGGGCCTGAATGGGGGCAGGGGAGCCTTACACACTTCGTCCCTATGATATGTCAGGGATGTGACAGAGATGATCTTGTTTGGCTAGACTCAGAGGAGTGCTTTCACATGTCGCAGCTCTTGTGACAAGCACATACTGTCAGCCTTGCTTCTGCTCCCCATGAGATGCATGGAGGGTGGTGAGGGCCGCGTGCCTGGTTTCGGGTCTCACCGTGGTCACAAGCTTAGCTGCGAATCAGGAAGTCGGGGTCACCCTTACGAAGGACGGGCAGCAGAGGCCTGCGGCAGCCGTCTCAGGCGGAGGGTGGAGCTACGCCGAGGAGCGAGACCAGAATGATGACATTTTCGGAACTGCTATTTATTCCCAGTCCCTCCCACTTCTTCATCCTGGAATGGCTGCATTTATCAAGAGGCCCCAAGATGCATGAAGAAGGAAATGTGCCCCCCCGACTTCCGGTGCTGCCAAGTCCAGCAGGCCGAGGGAGCTGGGGCGGCCCTGGACTTGGGGCAGGTGGGTGCACTGCAGTGACTCTGCTCTGTGGGGTCCGCCCGGTTTCTCCAACGGAGAAGCAGGAGCAGCTAGCGTCACCCACCTGCTCCCTCCACGAGCTCCAGGGCTGGGGACGAACTACTCTGAGCTAATGCTGGAAAGGAACTTATCGGACCAGCCCTCTCAGCAGACGTGCGGAGGGAGCAGGCGAGGCAAAGCCTCCCTCACCTGCCACCTCGGTGATCACCGCACACAGAGCAGGAGCATCCCACAGACGGAGGCTTCTGCACAGCAGCGTCAGAGAGAGGGCAGGGAAGATGAGTGAGAACCGTGTGGGGGCGTGGCTGCTGCTTCCCAGTGTGGCTGCGCCGTCTGGACGGCAGCCCCTCTCCATCCTTGCCATCCCGTCTTCTGTCAGCTGCGGCTGCCGCAGCCAGGGCAGCCCACCCAGGGTCTCAAGGTGCTCCACTGCCGACAGCAGCTGGGGCTGGCAGCTGGCCGGGGTCATTTGTTGGCCATGGCAGAGAGCTGGTCTCGGATGCGGCCCAGCCCGTCCAACATAGTGTCCAGCGTTTCCTTACTCAGCTCCATGGTGACGGCTGAGACGCGGGGTTTGTCCCCACATAGGCTGGGATCTTCTTGGACCTGAAAAGAGAACATGGCCCCAAAGTCAAAGTCACCTCACTTCCAAAAGCCCTGGAAGTGAGCCCCGGACCAGGGAGCCCCACCCCATTCAGAGAACCTCTGAAGAGAGGCTCTTGCTCAGAGCGACAGACAGTCCCAGCCCAGGCGTCAGCAACCAGAGAAGGAAGGAGCCGCCTCGAGGCTGGGGGTCAGTTTCCACCTGCAACAGGTACTGAGAGCGGGTATCTGAGAAGCCAGGCTCACTCCTGCCCCGAGCAGCGGTCAAGTGAGGACACACGTGTTCACACTGGCAGTTTATACAAGGGGCCCTGGGGGGGGGGGGCAGAAGAATCCAGTGGGATGCAGGCGAAGCACAGGGGTGGGCCGAAGTAGGTCTATAATGCGCTCTGTACCCCCTGTGCTGGAGGAGAGCAAGGAGACTACAAAATGCGTAAATAATGGCGGCCGGCAATCTGAGCACTTACTGGACTAAGTGCGCTGTGACATAATCATAACCACACGAGCCACTGTAAATCTACTTTTGCCCACCCCCGTATTATAACTTCTATTCATACCTCTTTTAAAAAGTGAGCGTTACCAATATAACTTAGAGGCACCCTTATGTTTTCATTTCTTTACAAGTTTGGAATTTCTGAGTGTCTGGTTAGTAAAGCCACCTCCCATTACGCAGTGTTAACTAAGCAAACCCTTGGGATGGAAATGCAGCTTAAACGGATTCCTGAAGAGAACTGGGAAGCCCTGGCTGCTGTGGCTGAGATGGCTGGGTGTCATCCCACAAAGCGAAAGGTCACTGGCTGGTTCCTGGTCAGGGCACAAGCCTGGGCTGTGGGTTCAGTTCCCCGGCTGGGGCACACGAGAGGCAACCGACTGATGTTTCTCTCTCGCACCAATGTTTCTTTCCTGCTCTTTCTCCCGCCCTTCCCCTCTCTCTAAAAATAAGTAAAACCTTATCTAAGAAAAGAACAACTGTAAAGTGAAGGTGACACCCCAGAGGCAGGAGCCGGGGAACAAGGACACGAAGAAGTGACAGATGTCCGACTGCTGACGGGGACCAGCCCTGTCACACCCAGGACGACCTCAGCCCACTGCAGAGAAGCCGGCTGATGCACAGCGCACCCTCCAGACGGCCGTTTGGAATCGGAGAGCACGCTCGTCTCATTAAAGCTCGACCTTCCCAAAGGGCACCAGGTAACCTCCAGGTATTGGCAAATGATTTTAAAATTCATCTTTTGTGTTTGTCTCATTAAAATTTCTACGCAGTGTGTGCTTCACTGTCTATGTTAACACAGTAGCACACACACACTATAAATAAATACTGTACCGGGCAGAGCTCACTTTTTTCCTCTATGGAGTCAGAGGTGCCCACACTCTGGAGACCGGTATTTTCAACGGCGCACAGGGGTGCCGAGTCACTGCCGCCCCTTCCTCCCTCCCAGTGAGGGTGACAGCGGACGTACCTTCATCTGCAGCAGGCAGGTGGGGACGGCCATGCGGCTGATGCTGTCGGAGGCGGTTTTGATGTCCACTCTCCAGTCCAGGTCGACCAGGCGTGGCAGAGAGACTGTGGAGGGGACAGCCCGCTCAGAGCTCCCGCCGCCTGCATCTGCCGAGGCTTCGCTCTGTGACGGGCGGCCCTGAGGACCGTGCGTGTGCAGCGCATCCGAGCCACACAGCGAGACTCTGAGGGGGACGGACAGGCGGGGCCCACTGCTCCACGCCACCCGCGCTCAGCACTGATTCACGCGGGCAGCATCTCCAGGCCTCTGCCTGGACACCAAGCCCCCCGATGTCCAGGCACAAGGAGAAATGACACGGGGTAGAGAAGGCGAGGTTGTGGCCTGAGCCTTCGGAAATATGTAGCTTCCACAGTAATGGAAAGAGCTTTTGTTCGAGGAACAAACGGACTTGGCTTGCAGGTGGGTTCTACCGCCTGCCTGACCTCTGAGCCTCTACTTCCTCACCTGTAAAAGGGGGATAATCTCGGTCTAGCTCCCAGGGTTGGTGGGAGGACCACATGAGTTAACACGGGGAGAATTCCTCAGCACAGGGACTGCCTCTGAGTGATCATTTATTAAATGCCCACTTCCATTCAAACTTTCTAACTGATTTCAGCCATGGTTTTTTTCTAATGGAAATGTCATTATTTTAAGTATTTCACTTACTGCTTTGGATATTTCTGTTTATTTTTTTTAACAACATGCTTACATGGTATTAAGTTTATAATCAGAAAAAATTTTAAAAAGTGGAATTGAAAGGAAAACAGCACACACTGTTCAGTTGGGATCATTCACTCACTTTGATTTTCAGTTAGAAACTCTAGCCACCTGGCAGATTCCGAGCTGGGGCTGGGAAGGAGGGGTGAGGAGGAAAAGGCCGATTTCTCGATACTCACTGAGATCTGCGTGGGCTTCAGTCCTCCAAGTGGATCTGTTTCAGACAGAAAGAGAAGGTAAAGATGATGGGAAGGGGATGCAGACGTCTCCTGATGATGAGAGGGGCCGTGGCCCGGGCCCCGCTTCCCCGCCCTGTGAGCTTCAAGCCTCCGACAGGCCAGGACCACAGAGGAGCCTCGTTCCAACGAGCAGCTGTCTGTTGTCTGGTTTGTAAAGCTCAGTGACTTTAAGGACACAAGTGCTATTTTCACAACATAAAAAAAGAGGAAGAGGCTTAATGCACTGTAACCTTGTTGTGCCCATCACACTCAGAGACAAAACAAAGGGCAACCTCGTCTCTTTTTATTGAATAGCTACTACACAACGTGCTGCATCTTATTTTACTTTTTAAACTTTATTTATTTTTAGAGAGTGGGGAGGGAGGAAGAGAGGGAGAGAAACATCAATCGGTTACCTCTTGTACGTGCCCCAACCAGGTCGGACCTGCAACCCAGGCCTGTGCCCCGACTGGGAATCAAACAACCTGCAACCTTTCACTTGCCCGGGCACGACGCCCAACCAACTGAGCCACCAGGGTCGAGGCCGATGCACTACAACTTAAGCCAAACACACCCAAACAGGCCTGTCTCATGCTACAGCAAACAGGACTGCCGTGAGACACATGCCAAGCAGAGTCAGACTACAGTGTGGTCATGTATGAGGAAGTTTCTTAATAGACAACAAAACCCTTTGTCAACAGGCATTCTCTGTTATTACCATTCCAGAGGTCTGTTCAAACCTGCTGCTAGCCACTTCATGGAACCTGAGTAAATTGTGTGTGTTTAAAAGGATTTGGCCAGCCAAGAAAATATACAGATAATTCACACAAAAATAAAATTGACCAAAAAACATGGCCAAAAGAGATGTTCAACATCAGTAGTAGCAAAGACAAACAAATTGACATGAGGTACTATTGGCCATGTGTGGAACAGAAAAAATGTAAGAAAAATAAAAATGCCACCCTGGCTGGTGTGGCTCAGTGGATTGAGTGCCGGCCTGTGAACCGAAACGTCACAGGTTTGATTCCCAGTCAGGGCACCTGTCTGGGTTGCGGGCCAGGTCCCCAGTTAGGGGCGTTTGAGAGGCAACCGATCAATGTATCTCTAGCACATCGAGATTTCTCTCCCTCTCCTTCTCCTCTCTCAAAAATAACTAAAATCTTTACAAAGGGAAAAAACACCCCCTTGGTACTGGTGAAGGTTTGGGGAGAAAGGTGCATTTGTGTCTCTCGGGTGTGAGTGTGACAACAGTCGGGCAGCATTCTGATTGCTGCCTCGACAGCATGAAGCCAAAGCCCCAATGTCCGCTGCCTCCGACGAAACGTTCGCTGAAGTGAAAATGGCCAAGAGCACAAATGCCTGACACCTGGGAATTTCTTCATTACGTCATACACGGTTCCTTTATGGAATGGGCTATAGTCAGCCATTAAACAGGTTACTGAAGGTGAGTATTTATTGACCTGCAATACCAGAATATTAATACTGTTAACTGCAAACGAGCATGTTATAAAATGGCACCATCCCATTGTGTTAAGAACGACGCCAACCTCGTTCTGCACGTGTAAATGAAAAAACCGAACGGGTCCTGAAAGGCCCTCCACTCAGGAGGTAATGCTGCTAAGCCCCTGGGTGGCAGGGTTAGGGTTTTCATCTTGCTTACTTGTGTTTGCTTTGCAAGGGTGAACCTACTGCCCTGCCGGGCGTGGCTCAGGTGGTTGGGCACCCTCCTGCAAACCGAAAGGTCATGGTTTGGTGCCGGGTGAGGGCACATGCCTGGGTTGCGGGTTTGGTTCCCGGTCAGGGCATGTACAAGAGGCAACTGACTGCATGTTTCTCTCCCTCTCTTTCTCAGTCCCTCCCTTCCCTCTCCCTAAAAATTAAAAAAAATAAAGTAATTAAAAAAAAAAAAGAGTGAACCTACTACTTCCAGAACAGGAAGCCTTCCAAGGTTCTCTCGAGAAACGAGCACTTACATGTGTTCCAGGATGATTCTTGTCAGCAGGTTTTTGAGGTTCTGGTGGAAATTTTCAGGAAAGAGAGCCAGGACTGCTTCAGCGGAGGCCAGGTCACGAAACACCACCAGCCTGGTGAGGCGGTGCAGGGCCTGGAGCAGCTGCAGGAGAGACGGGTGCCGGGGCACTGAGGGAAAGCGGGCAGGGACCAGGGCCAGGGCACTCCCCCCGACGGCCACACACTGCTGCGGCCATTCATCGCAGCCTCGTGAGTCCTGCGGCCTCTGCTGCAGGTGCCGAAGCCCATGTGCCTTGGTCTGTCCCTGAGCTCACCCGCTGCTTTAGAAGACAGATGCAGCCACCGGGCATAGGAAGCTGTCACCTTGCCAGAAACTCTGCTTTCGAGCAAAGAGTTACTGAGTACTCTTTCCCACTGCACAGAACCTGACCTTCCATTAACTTTCTAGTCCAGCGATTTTCAACCGGTGCGCCGAAACGGTTTTTAAAACGTGCAATATCTATTTAGTCACAGGCACTGACCTCTCTTTCCCTTAGACTGTCACATAAAAAGAGTGACAAGAGCAAACACAACAATAGCCATCTAGTGTGCATAAATCAAAATTATACCTTTTTTGGGGTCAAGTCTGCAAAAAATATTAGTGTGCTGCAAAATTTTAGGAATCGGTTTCTGTGCGGAGCTTCTTCCCTAAGGGTGGCTGCGCGCAGCTGGCCAGAACCTGAGGCTGTGCTGACCGAACTGTCTGTGACCAGAGGTGCTGGCTCCTGTGGGGTTTGGGTGTTGGATCTAGAGCGGTAGGAGCGTCATGGCCCTGTCCCTAGGCTGTCACCTGGGAGGGCAAGGAGAACCACCGGCTCCAGGCTGGGTGGAAGAGGAGTGCTAGGATGCTGTGTTCCACCCTCTGATCTTCCAGCTGTGGCTGTGGTCGCTCTGTGGATATAACCACGCTTCGCTGAACCTAAGGGGACTCTCCGAAGGTAACCTGCTGCTTTAGGGCATTCCTGATGCCTTGGGAGGTTGTTCAGAGAACAGGGGACATTAACCCCGCACTGAGGAGGTGCGGGAATTAGTGGAGGAACGCCCTAGCCTCTCTGCCCTCCAGGGCACCAACATTCTGGGGTATGTTCCGCATGGCTTTTAACAGGCCCTTAAGGTTGAGCCCAAGCTGCCCACAGAAGTAACCACTCACTAACACACACCCTGTTACTGGTTTGTCTCTCTTCCCTGTTTGATTTTCCCCACCTTTTCCTTTGTGGTTTCCAGAATCACCTCTCAAGTGATACCTGCACTGAAATCTTTGCTTCAGGGTTATATCTGTGGAACCCAAAGGAAGTCTCCAACTCAGTTTGATCATCTTACTTCTGCCTTTTACTCTTCCACAGCTAACTTCAATGAACAAAGCTCCAGGTTTTAAAACAACCACAGCAGCAGCAGCACAGGCCGGTCTGGATGCACTCCTGTGTCGGAGTGCGACATCCCTGAGTCCCTCTACTCTTCCTCTTGGCCATCAGGTGAGATCATCCTTCCAGCCACACAACCTCCCTCACAGCACTCAGGCCGTAGAGCTTCCGCACTGATCCCTGAAGTTTGCCTGAGCCATCCAACCAACAATTAGTGAGTATCAGCACGTGATGGGTTGGGAAAGAGAAGTATAGAACGGCTGGCTTTTGGCCCCCTTGTACGTAACAAATCTGAAAAGGAGATGGTTGGGAGCCCTGACTCTGGGTAAGTTCTCCCACCCTAGCCTCATTTACAATAAGGAAATAAAGGTTCAAAACAAAGGTTTTTAAGTTCACTAACATTAACAAAAATCTATTTTAGATTGCTTTAATATCAATAGACACTTAAGGGGAAAAAACTTCCTTGGACACAGCAATGGCTGGGAGGTCAAGAAAGAGACTAAGGAGTTGCGAGTCCAGTGTCCAAAGGTCACTTCTGACCATACTTACTTGCTCCGCCTCCTCCTGGGTCACAGACAGGCTGGAACACGTGACATCCAACAGTGTTTTCGAGCCCAGGGCTGACCTAGAGAAGCTCTCTTGGCACAGCTGCCTGACGACGTCTTTTGAGGAAGCCTAGAAATTCACACATGGAAAAGAAAATAACCAAAGAAAACAGACGTTTTAGAACACAGTTCTGTCTCTGTATGATGTAATGGTGTGACACTGTGGACACTCCAGATTTAAAGGTGCCTAGGACACTCCCATGTCTGGGAAGATGGACTCAGAGTACTTTTCCTTATTCTTCCTGTTAAGCACAATGAACGTCCCTGGGCACCAGACAGAGAACAAACCCAAGGTAACTCTGAATGGGAGAGAGGAGGGGACAGCCCTGCTGGGGACCTCGAGACCAGGGAATGGTACGGAGGTGAGTCCCCTGGGTTTTCTTTTTGTTCACATATCTCAGACTTTGAGCTGAAGAAGAGGACAACCGAGAACGCCAGTGGGTGCATCAAGAAAAAAGCTCCTACAAATACCTGCTCTCCAGCTGAGGGACCAAGAAAAGGGCAGCCCAGCAAAACAGAAAACCGTAGACGGTAACTGTGATACTCCCATCAGACACCACTACTCCCATCAGACACCGCTACTCCCATCAGACACCGCAGAAAGAACCGTGGCCCTGCCCTCACCCGGTGGCATCACTTCACTCAAGAACACATCCAACAACTAGTTATTAAGCACGTGCTTTGTGTCAGGTGTTGGGGGCACGCTTGTCGGTGACACATTTATAAATAACATTAGGCACCTTTAGGGATGAAGATACGAAAGAACACGGGGGCAGTGGTTAAAACAACAGAGGGACCATGGCATGGACCAATGAGGAATGTTGTGCCATGAACGACGAACTTGTGCCCCACATGATTGCTGAGTATAATTAACTTTACCCTCTTCATCTGGTTTGAAAAAAAGCCTCTCATGAATCTTACAGTCTTGTGAGACAGACAGACAAATAGATACATAATGTCTGCTAGTGACAAGAACTGCAAACTGCAAAGGAAGATAAAGCCGCCCCTTCCTATACGAAAAGCCTGAACTTAAACAAATAATTCCAATCCATCATTTCATTTGATCCTTACAAAGACCTGTGAAGTACATCCCTTCTGACATTACAATCTTTCAAATGATGGTCAGGAAAATTTTGGGCCCTTATAACAGGTCAAAGTGATGGGAGACTCAAATATTGCAAATTTTTTAGTCTCGGGTAATAGCTAATATGCTTAGTAATCAATGTACATAAAAAGCTATTGTTTCAGGAACTGAATGTATGACCCACCCCCACCCTGACTCCAGGAGACCTTAAGCAGTACCACCTTTGTGCCCCAGGACTGCAAGCAATTCAAGATGGTATCAAAGCCTTCCTTCTCCAGGGTGAGCTGTCCACTGCCCAGGGAACAGATGAAAGAATGCTGCAGCTTTTATCTGATTAACTTTTCCCCTGAATTCCAAACCCCTTACCTACACTTTTCTTCTCCTTACAAAAAAGGCAGGTTTAAAATAGAAGTTTATACAGTGTGTTAGGGCGCAAACCTGCCGTATTCTCAGATCTCTGGCCATCTGAATAAAGAGCCCATAAAGATTCAATTCCGATCTCTGCTTACTGGTAGGTGACAGGCTGCATGAACACAGGCTTTTCCAGTTTCAAAAGCAAGTACAGAAAACCCAGGACTGTGGAGAACAAAGAATGCACTTCACTCAGGGTTGGGCGCATGAAGAGAGAATTTCTCCACTGCCCAGCATTGCACAGGGTCTGCTGGATGCAATCTGAAGTGGCCTCGTGGATCCAGCAATTACCACCCTAATGCAGCAATCAGGAAATCCAGCAGCGCCTTCACAATCATCATCTTATTGTTTCCCCACCCACTGTCAGCCCGGTATTAGTTTTATTCTTTCTTTTAAACAGCTCAGAAAAGGGCAACGACTTGCTCAGGGCCACAAAGAGGCAGTGGCTGAGTCTTGGCTCCAGATCGAGGTCTGTTTATCCCCAATTCCTATTCCATCTAAAATCCCGGGGACAAAAGACCCCTCAGGCTGTCCCCACACTCTACCTTCAGCAGGCTCTGGAGTGCTGCAAAGTTTTCCGCACTCAACGCAGCCATTTTTCCCAGGTCATGTGACCGCTCTCACGGGGGTGGGGGGAGTGCAATCGCGCGGTCCCAGTGGCCGCGTGGGGCAGGCTGGGAGCTGTAGTCCTTTAGGGTGGCGGAAACTGCCCGGAGCTGGGGGCCCGGGAAATGGGGAGGAGCCAAGTAAGGAGCAAGGGCTGCGTGTTCAGTCGGGCGACTTTAGGGCCGTGGAAGGGGAGGACGTGGGCATGGGTGGCTTTCAGGGAAGGAAATGAGTTAGCTTGTTTACTTACCAGATCAGGAAAAACCCTGATTTTTTCCCTGACCTGAGTGGACTGGCTGGTTGAGTTGAGGAATGCGCCTGCGTTGGCAGAGGCCTTGGAAGCGTAGCTACTACCTAGCTGCTCGGAATTAAAATGTGGTTGTGCATGTTGGAATTCTTGGAATTTATCCCTCCCCTCATTTTGGAGGATGTAAAATTGCTTTCACGTGTAGTTTCTGTATGTGTGCGGTAGATAGGAGCTGGTACTATTTGCCGTACCCAGATGGGGAAACTGAATCGAAGTTTTTGGTAAGCTTTCCTGTAGTCCTAGGGGAGATCCGTTCTGGACAGCAGGTAAAGAAGCTTTTAGAAGAGCGGGGATAGGGATGGAATCAAGTGAAAAAAGTGGAGGGATTAAGCAGTGCAAATGGGTAGTTACAGAATAGTCAGAGATGCAGATTACAGCACAGGGAATATAGTCAATATATTGTAGTATAACTAAGTGTGGACCAGGTGGGTACTTGAAACATCAGTGGACCATGGAAAGTAAATGAGTTTTTAACCACTGTTTTATATCTGAAACTGATACAGACTCATTTTGAATATAAACTGCAATTGAAAAATAAAAAATAAAGTAGGTATTACCTACTAGGTTCCTATCACACTTATGGGGGGATTCATGGAAGTGATTTTATTCATTTATTCAACAAGATAGTTACAGTGAATGTGGCAAGTGGTTTTTGGTGGGCAGTACAGGACTCTGATTTTTAAAAATATTTTATTTATTTATTTTTAGAGAGAGCAGAAGGGAAGGAGGAAGAGTGGGACAGAAATATCAGTGTGTGGTTGCCTCTCATGTGTCCCCCACTGGGGACCTGGCCTGCAACCCAGGCATTTGCCTGACTGGGGATCGAATTGGAGACCCTTTGCTTCACAGGTCCGTGCTCAATCCACTGAGCTACACCAGCCAGGGCAGGACTCTGATTTTTTTTAAGGAAACATCTGTCTCCTTTGCACCCCCAAACCCACGGTCTCTCTGTCATTTCCCTTATCCACGCTTAGTGTCTGGTTGACTCACTGTTTTTTCCTCCCCCATTTCCTTAGCAAAATTTGGCTCAAAATTTTAGCTTGATAAGCTCGTGCTAAAGAAAGAATGCCTATTTGTGAAATTTCAGAAATTGGTAAATGAGTAAAGGACATTTTTTCCAATGCTTCCTGCTTCTCTCTTCCTTCTCTTCCTCCTGTTCTCTGTTGGGAGGTTGTCCAGGCCCAGGAAAATAAACCCAGGTTGTCTCAGGATGAATCCATCCCCGGACTAGAAGATTTTAGAGCCATATTGAAATGGAGTCCCAAGTCCACCTCTGTTTCTTGGCCTCTCCCTCTTCTCTTCTGCTCCAAGGGTCCACATGGCTTGATTCTTATTTCTCCGCCATGAGCCACTGTAAGCACTAGGTTTAACACCTGCCCAAATGCAGAGGGGCCAGCCTATGCCCTGAGTGAATTGAATGTGTATTCAATAAACAGCATCCAAAAAGTGGCTGGATTAAGATTAATTTCTGTGATTGGTTTGTGGGGGTCACTGCCTTACTATTTGCAGGATGTGCCTTCTTGTCCGACTCTAGAGAAGTGAGCAGTGTGGTCACCAGCCTTCAGGATGGCCCCCAACGATCCTTGCCTGCTGGTGTTCACACCCCTGCACAGTCCCCTTCTACGCTGTACGGGGATTGGCCATGTGACTGACAGCCAATGGCAGAAGTGCTGGTGTGTTACTACTGAGATATGAAAGACTGCAGCTCCCTGAGGCTCTTTTATTTGGCTGCTGTCTTTCTCCTGAATCTGTTGCTCTAGGGAAAGCAAGCTGTCCCGCTGCAAGCAGTCCACTGGAAGGGTCCATATGATGAAAAACTGAAGCCTCCAGCAGATAGCCAGCCTGCCAACGGCCTCATTGCTGAGTTTAGAAGCTGGTTCTCCAGCCCCAGTAAAGCTTTGAAATGATGGGAACCTTGACCAACATCCTCACTGTAACCTCATGAGGAATTCTGAGCCAGAAACACCCAGCTAAGCCACTCCTGGATCTCTGACCTTCAAAAACTATGATTGTAAATGTTTGCTGTTTGAAGCTACTAACTGTTGAGGTACCTTGTTACGTGCCAGTCATAACACACACGATAAAGCAGAGGGACTTCAGAATTCAATCTCAGTTGGAATCCCAACTCTGCATGTTGGTAACTGTACTTGGAACCAGTTCTTGAACTTCTGAGTCTGTTTCCAAATCTGTAAACGGATGTTGCTCATACCTGCTCAGAGAGCACAGCAGAGTAATAGGTGCTACCTCGGCCGGAGAATTCCAGCTCTCCTTGTCTTCGTGGGCAGGCAGAGTGTGAAGGGATCCCCTGGGCTCCAGTTTGCCAGGCAGGGCCTCATGCCCGCCCTGCGGCATCCCGCTGGGGTGGGCTGCCCAGGCCGCACCCACCGTGTTGCTTTTACAGGTGTGCCTGTGGTCTGGGGATCTCCCAGCAATTCCTAAACCACAAACATTCTCACGGGAAGAAACAGAACAGAATATTAGAGTTCATTTCCATGATTTGGTCCCACTGCCTGGTTTTTCTTAAGATTAATCTGATTTCTTTCCAATTCTGGGTATAATAAACCACTTTCTTACATTTATTTAACAAACTTGCTACTTGTCAGCCTCCATCTAAGCCCCTGACACACTTGTTGATTTATTTACTTCCCATCACAATCCCATGCGATGCACACACGCACAGAGTACTATTATTTTTCCCATTTTACATAGGGGGACACTGAGAAGTTCAGTCGCTTGTCCAAGGTCACACAGCATGGTACTGGCAGAGTCCATATGCAAACTTGAGCAGTCTGACTCCACAGTGTGAGCCATTAACCACCAAACCGTACCTTTCTCATCTTCCCATAGCTAAAAACTCACGCTTTTTCTGTCTGGATGTCCGACTGCCTTCCCCAGGGGGCAGAAACAGTCTAAGGGGGTTCCTGGACGGGTGACCCAGGGGTACGGTGAGAGACAATGTGATGAGCAGAAGGGGTACCTTGGGCTTTGGGGAAAGACCCAGGTTTATTTCCTGGCTCCTGGGTACTTTTGGCAAGTGACTTCATCTCTTTGAACCTTGGTTTCCTCATCTGTAAAATGGGAACACCAGTCATTAAGACACCTTTTTGACTATTAGGAGGAGCTTCAGGATGACTTACACCCAAAGGGGGAAGGGTCTGGGGACCGTTCCTGCCACTGGTAGCACTAAAGGGAAGCGCTTCCCTGGGCCGTGGGAAAGGCTTTGCCCCGGGGTGACCAGCCAACTCAGTTTTCCCAGGAAGGAGGGATTTCTTGGGACACAGGACTTTTTGTACGAATGCTGGGACAGCTCTGGGGAAACCAGGCCAGTCGGTCACCCTCGTTTGAGCTCTGATCCCCTGAGAAACATCATCTTTGCAGAGCGCTTGTCCTGTCTTCCCCAGTGAGGCCATGCGAAGAGAGCAGTGTGGGTGCAGAAGTGTTTTAAGTGAAGGCATTCACGGATAGCAGTCTTAGTTGGGGTTCTTTTGTTGTGGTGACAGCGTTATTGTGATGTAACTCACACAATTTACCATTTAAAGGGTACGACTTAATGGATGTTAGCATATTTACAGAGCTGTATAAGCATCACCACAGTCCGTTTTAGAGCATGACCACCACCCAGAAGGTCACCGTGCCCTTCAGCTGTCAAGCCCCCAGCCCTCTCATCACACCCCAGCTTTAGGCCATCTCTCATCTGCTTTCTGTCTCCACAGATTTGTCTGTTCTGGCTATTTCATAAAAAATGGAATAATCTGCTACATGGTCTTTTTTATGGCCCCCCCCCCCCGACTTATCCCAGTATTTTGAAGTTCATCACATTGTAGCATGGATCAGCACTTCATTCCTTGCGATTGCTAAATAATTTCCACCGAATGGCTAGACCACATGCTGTGTATCCATTCGCCTGCTGATAGACTTGGGTTATTCCCACCTTCTGGCTGTCGTGAGTAATGCTGCCGTGGACACTCGTGAACAAGTCTTTTTGGATTCACATTTTCATTTCTCTTGGGGTATATGTAGCCAGGAGTAAAGTTACTGGGTCATGTGGTGACTCTGTGTTTAACTTTCTGAGGAACTGCCAGACTGTTTCCCAAAGTGGTTGCGCCATCTCAGGTTCCCGTCAGCAGTGTGGGAGGGCTCCGATTTCTCCACCTCCTCCCCAGCACTTCTCTGTAGGTCCTTTTGTCTGCAGCCACCCCGATGGCTGTGACATGGCACCTCACTGTGAGCAGCGTTGCTTTGGAGTTGCGTTGGCTTAGCAAGCACGATTCATCCCGTGGACGGCTTCCGTTCAGTCAGTGAAGATTTGGGGGCTGAGGTCCCGCAGTCTGCCCTGTGGTCCCACCACCAGGTTCCAACTGCCCTCTTTATCAGAGGAACATCTGCATGAGGTGGTCCTGCAGGGTGGGCCTCCTCACTTCCCCGGTTTCCCTTTTCCTCACCCTCGTTTCATGGATTGAGAGGAGGGTAGTGTCCAGGCAGAAGGGGCTGCCCTGTCTTTCTGGTCCGAGGCTCTAAGCCAAGGAGTGGCTTTGAAGTGAGCTGATCGCTCACCAAGAGACCACAGGCAAATCAGGGACAGAAGAACTGGTAATGACAGACACGCCCTGGCTTGGAAATGCCATCTGTGTCCGGATCACAGGCTGCGTGATTAGGGGCTAACTGCAGTAACAATGTCTTCATTGACACGGTGTGTAA